TAGACCATCTGAAGAATAAAGGTGATGCACCGGACACTCATGACCAAAGAACAGAAGAGTTGTGGGATGACGTGAAGAACATCATACAGGAAGAAAGAAAAAGGTCATTTAAAAGGCAGGAAAGAAATTTGAAATTTGGAAATTTCAAAATGGATGTGAGAACAGATTCTGAAACTTGCTATCCAGTGTAGACATACTAACATAATAAATGGAAGGAATAAGGAAACAAAAGAACTGAACAGAAACTTCAAAGGGCTGCTAGAGAAGACAAAGTTAAATATTATAATGAAATGTGTAAAGACCTTGAATTATCAAACTAAAAGAGAAGAACATGGTCAGCATTTCTCAAGCTGAAACAATTGAAGAAAAATAATTAAATCTTGACATCCAGTATTGAAGGATTCTATGGGCAAAATACTGAATAATGCAGAAAGCATCAAAAAAGGATAAAGGAATCCACAGAATCACTGTACAAAAAAGATAGGAGGTAGCGTATGATCATGAACCAATGGTACAGAAGGTAGAAGTCTAGCTGCATTAAGGGAAAAAAAAACACAAAGCTCCAGGAATTGATGGAATACAAATTGAAATCTGTCAACAAATTGATGCAGCATTGGATACACTCACTCATCTATACCAAGAAACTTGGAAAACAACTACCTGGTCAACGGATAGGAATAGACCCATATTTGTGTTAATTCCAAAGAGAGGTGATACAATGGAATGCAGAAACTATCAAGCAGTATCATTAATATCACATGCAAGTAAAATTTTGCTGAGGATAATTCAAAAAGAGCTGCAACAGTACGTCAAATGGAAGATACCAGAAATTCAAGCCAGATTCTGAAGAAGACATAGAGCTAGGGATGTCATTGGTGATGTCAAATAGATCTTGGCTGAAAGCAGAAAACACCAGAAAGATGATTATTATTTGTGCTTTATTGACTATGCAAGGGCCTTTGATTGTGTAGATCATGACAAATTAAGGATAATATTACAAAGAATGGGTATTTTAGAGCACTTAATTATGTTGCTGAGGAATCGTAGATCAAGAGGCAGTCTTTCAAATAGAACAAGGGAACACTGAATGGCTTAAAATCAGGAAAAGGTATATGCCAGGGCTGTATTGTTTCACCATACTAATTCCATCTGTATGATGAGCAAATAGTTCAAGAAATGAACATATGAAGAAGAATGTGGCATCAGGATTGGAGGAAGACTCATTAACAACCTGAGATACACAGATGATGTAGCCTTGCTTGCTGAAAATGAAGAGTACTTAAAATACTTACTAATGAAGATCAAAGATTATAGCCTTTAGTATGAATTGCATCTCCATGTAAAAAAAAACAAAAAACCTTTCAACTAGACCAATAAATAACATGACATTTGGAGGAAATGGAAGAAATAAATGGATAATGATAAATGGAGGAAATATTGAAATTTTCAAATACTTCAGTTTTTCTGGGATCCATAATCAATATTGTGCTATTGCAGCCAAGAAACCAAATGGTGTATTGCATTTAGGCAAATCTGTTGCACAAGACTTTTTTTAAAGTGTTCAAGAGAAAAGGTATCAGATTGAGGACTAAAGTACCCCTGACCCAAGCCATGGCATTTTTCAATAGCCTAATATGGATGTTGAACAATGAATAAGGAAGAAGTACAGCCAGAATGCTCCTTAGAATCCAGAATGGCGAGAGTTCATCTCTCATACTGTAGACATATTATCAGGAGGGACCAGACTTGGTAAAGTCTAGGGTCAGTGAAAAAGGGGGAGAAACCCATTGAGATGGATTGGCACAATGGTACAAGCAATGCACTCAAATGACAGTTGTGGGGATGGTACAGAACTGGGCACTGTTTTGTTTTCTTTTGTATTGGGTAGCTATGAGTCTGAACCAAATCTCTGGCACCTAAAACCAACAATAGACATTTGGCCTCAATCAGGGAAGCTCTCTATGTGCTTTCTAATGTTAACTCAAGTGACTGTTATTGTTAGGTGTTCTCACAGCAGTCCCCAACACATGGTGATCCCAGCCACCAAAGGAACATTACATTTCCTGCACCAGCCAATGCTCCATTGTGGATAGCCCTTTGTAATCAATAAGGTTTTTATTGACTGATTTTCTGAAGTAGACAACCAAGAGTTTCTTCCTAGTTCATCTGAAAGCTCTGCTGAATCCTTTTCAGCATAATAGCAACACCCAAGCTGATGATGACAGATTAGTGGTTATTATGCATTAGGTGCTTTGACCTGGAATCAAACTCAGGTGTGCCATTTGAGAGCAAGAATTCTATCACTAACTTACTACTTCCCCAACTACTGTGGCTGTTGTTTTGTTAATCGCCATCCAGTTTGTTCTGACTCATAGCCATCTGTATAGCATTTCCAAGAAGCAGCTGATGGGTTTAAACTGCAAATCTTGCAGTTCAATCTGATGTTTCAGTCCAGCACATTATCCTGTAGCACCACACCAGGACTTCTTTTTACCTAATAGAATGCAAAGTTTTAAGAATATTCAACCTGACACTTTTCAATAACATAGTCAAGACATATGATACTTTAGCATAAGGATAGTAAGTATACATTGGATTAATGGGCACCTTGGAATTTATTTAGACCAAGATACAGTTACCTGAGAAACACAAAGTTCCAACAATGATCTAAGTAAATGAAGAATACAGGAAGAGATGTAAAATTACAAAGTGAGTTTTTTCAAGTGGAAATAGTGAATATAACCTTTGAAATAACCTTATGGCACGGGATGTAATTGGAGATGTGCTATGTAAGTATTTATTTGTGTGCTTGTGTGTGTGTTTGACAGTGCTCACTTTATTTAAGCTGGCCAGTAACGTCTGTGTAAGGGTCTTTTAATGTATCAAACCACAGTGAGATTCTTTCTAGAACTGTGATTCTAAAATAGACATCTATACCATTGCTGTTGCTATGATTCTTGTATCAGTTTTGAGTACTGAATATCAATATATGCATTGAGAAATGTTCTGGCTTAAAGATGACTGATTAGACATTTCAATACAAGCATAATGGTGATGGTACTGTGAGTTGTTGTGTATGCATTGCATTCTTGGTGTTATCCTTTACAAACAAGATGGGTTAGTTTAGCTGTCATCTCAGCAAAACTTTTCTAGCCATTAATGGTCTAATTAAAGACCTGGACTTAGGGAAGAATATCCTAACTAAACACAGACTTAGTAGTCAAGGGAATAAACCACTGTGAACATTCATTGGTAATGTTAATCCAAGAAACTGAGCAAGTGAAACAAAATCAATTCAATGAGAGAATGTATAACTTTATTGATGTTTTCACCCTTGTTGATGCAGTGTTTCAATAAACATTTGTGTGTTTTCGGCATAAATATCAATTTTTGTTGGTAAATTCCATTTGACTTATTGGGTTCCCATAGCTAAGTGTTTTGTGATTTCAAAGGGGAAATGATACTATGTGTATGGAGAAATAAAAATACTTCCTTTGAAGGCCCAATCAATCCTTTTCCCAGATGAAAAACTAAAGTCAAGATGGCATCTCTGTCCTGTTATGCATTGAAAGGTGGGTTCACAGAAGAAGCCAATGGTATGATAAGTTTCCTTCTTAATCATCTGCATGCCCATATACACATATGGATACACACACACGTGCTGTTTTAATGGAGAAAATATAAATAATACACAGACTCTTTAGTCTTGTTACTATTGTTAAGTGCTGTCAAGTCAATCTCAACTAATAGCAAACCTGTATAGGGTTTCCAAAGAGTTTGGTGAGTTTGAACCATTGGCCTTATAGTTCAAACCAATCTTTCAGTTCAGTGCTTATCTTACAGGATTCAAAAACAAAGGCAAACATGATGGAAATCATAGACACCTTGATTAGTTTTCCAAGTTCCATCTCCACATAGTGATCTTTTATAGGGTACAGGCAACAAAGGAATCTCCTTCCACAATCATGAATCACATACTCATGCTGGAAATAGGGAAAGATGGATGGAAACAATGACAGTTAGGAAAACTTGCTCTTAATCATGTTTCAATATTCAACATTCTGGTGCTATCAGTGTCCCACTGCTATTCATAAGATTTTCAGTGACTAAATATTCAGAAGTTGTCTGTCTCTCTTTCTTCTTAGTCTGTCTTATGCTGGAAGCTCATGTGAAACTCACCCACTGGTATTTAAAATACAGATGGCAAAGTTTCCAGAATCACATCAACATGCAAGCCACCACAGTATGGCAAAATGACAGATGAGTGGTGGTTTTTCCTTAGTATTCCAATACTGACATTCAAGAATCCCAGAAAACTGTAAGCATACATTTGATGGTTAACTTTTTGAACTTTTCTTGGTCAGCAATTGAAGATGTTTCCATTCCATACTCTGCTCTTTACTCTAAGGCTCATAGTGATGAATTCATGTCTCATTACCATTAATAATTTTTTCTTAAAATAAATTTTTACCTTCCTTCAAGTATTGGTCCAAATTTTGTAAGCAGATGTCCACATTCAGTTGTATAATCACATTTTTAATCTTAATTTCTCATTTCACTCAAAATTGGTCCAGTTACATTTCAATATTAGGAATCACATCTTATATTTGTTGTTGCCATGTACTTTCAAGTTAGTTCTGATTTACAGCAACCCTGCATAAGGTTTCTGAGTAGCAGCAAGTGGGTCTGGACCACCAAACTTGGTTAGAAGTCTAATGCTTATCCTACCTGAGTTCCAAATCTTACATTATGTATGTGTATAGTATTAAAGCTACCATTATTTTCCACCTACTGTTTGCCATACCTTGTAATTTATATACTTTAGGGTACATCTGTTCCACATCTCTATATCACTAATATCATTCTATGTCGTTTTTAAAAGAAACTTTGTTTTACATAGGTTAAGTAATATGCTGAAGTCCAACTGTTTTACATAGGTTAAGTAATATGCTGAAGTCCACCAAATATGATGGTGGATGCTTGAATTTATCACAGTTTACTTGAGGACACATATCCTTCAGCATTGTGTAATCTCTGAATCCAAGCTTTATGATATCCTCCCCAACCAATGTGAACAATGGTAATCAAGACACACACACCAATGAAAGTGAACCACCTTCTTTGGGCATCAGTTTTATCTGAAGTTAAAGATATGTACATATTCTAATATTAAAACAAATAAAAACAGACACATGTTATTATTGTTGTTGTTAGGTGCTATTGAGTTGGTTCCAACTCATAGTGACCTTATGCACAACTAAACAAAACACTGTCTGGTCCTGCACCATCCTCACAGTTGTTATTACGCTTGAGCCCATTGCTGCTGCCACTGTGCTACTACATCTCATTTGGGGTCTTCCTCTTCTTCACCAATGCTATAATTTACCAAGCATGATGGCCTTCTCCAGGAACTCGTCCGTGTTGATAAGGCATCTGAAATATGAAAGACAGTATCTCACCTTCTTGGCTTCTGAGGAACACTCTGTACTTCTTCCAAAAGAGTTTTCTTTGTTCTTCTGTCAGACCATGGTATTTTTTTTTTAAGCTTTTATTGTGAATTGAGTGAAGGTTTACAGGGCAGATTATCAGTTTTACTATCAACAAATCATTGCAATGATTACAACTCCATCCATGCATCATTAGCCCAATGCCCCATCAGCAAACGGTTTTTCCCCCTTTTCTTTTTTTTTTTTTTTTGATGTACACATATGACATTGAAAATATATATTCATTTAAATGCCCAAAGGACACATTATGCAAGCCAGCCTCCTGCCCACAGGCACACTGCCTTTCTCAGTCCATGGGTCTATAGTCATCTGCAGCTCTATCTCTCTATGTCATTGACTCAGCCACCAGATCTGTTGTTGTAGCTTTTCTGGTTAGGATCCTTCACTCCTCTCAGGCTCTTCCCTCTTGATGGTCCTAGGGTCCACTGTTCCTGAAAAGTCAGATTAACTGCTCCCTCCTTTTAGTTACACCTCTTCTACATTTAAAGTTGTGATAGTTGCCATTAGTCCTGATAACAGTTATTCTCAATTGAATCATAAACTCCTAAACCCATCATTACCAGAACCAGCTGGACAAGAGGAAAACTATTCAGTGGGGATTCTATTGTACCCCCTCATTTGACACTAAGCACCCTCATAAAAGCTTCTAAACCAGCCACTTCGTGCCTTTATAGTTCCCCATTTTTGATAGCTGATGTCTTAAGTCACCCATCCCTATCAATGCACTGTATGGAGGAGGCAAGCTTGATCCTTGATATGAAGAAACCTTCCCTTTCAGTTGAAATTTGGGGTAACTTCATCCATAAACAAAGGCCCAGTCATCGAGTTGTAGCAATTTACATTTTCCCCTGTATCAAACTTCTTTATCTTCATCTAATCGAGTTCTGGTCAGGAAGCCATCCAAGCTAGGTCAAATGGGAAACATCTGCAAATCTGAATGTTCTCTCATGCCTACCCCCATTTCAGACTAGCTAACTGCTTCATTCTTAACTCTAGCCCCCACTGGCTAGGTCAGTGTCCATGGGCTCCAGAGTTCACACATCTCACTTAACTTCAAATGAACCAGCCCTTCCTCTTCTCGTTCTCATCTCAAGATCATTAGTTGTCTCTGGAACATGGTCAAACTCAGCCAATGTCTTCAGGGCTGCATTTCTTCCACTTCCACTCAAAAGTTGACCAGGATGGTCACCAGCAAGCATACAAGACAGTTTGTGTGTTCCCTTTGACTTTCAGTCTTTGAAGTGGTTTACCCTGATGAACTGACTTTTCTTACTTTGATGGCTTCAAGGCAAACAGCTTGCTTGATATTGTTACAGCCAGTCTGCTTCCCCTGCCCTCCCCCTTCACCCAACACCTTGTTCTTTCTTTCAAGAATTGTATTCTGTTCCTGTAGCCATTCCACATTGGTCTGCATGTCTTTTCAATTGGGAATGACCCACTTCTGAAGGTTCTAAATGAGGCTCAGGATTCCACCTAAGACCCAATATTCCACAAAGGCTTAAAAAGAAGCATATTTTTCTGGGCACATTCTAGTACCCTTTTAGATAATTCAATCAGTTAGAGGCTGAAGATGGGTTTACAAGCTTTCTGTAATCATAGTGCTCAATATTCCTTTTTTTGTCCCACTTAAGAGTCTGTATCACTGTAGCAGAGGAAACCAATATCCACAAAATAGTCAAGCACCTTAACATTATATCCCCTCCTTTACCAATTCAGATTGTCTGATTTGGTATGATGTCTCAATCCTGACATCATACAGCCCTGATGTTCCAAGGTTGTACATACATCAGAGTCTACCTCTATCCCATGCATACTTCCTTAAGCCTTCCCCTATCATCCCCATTCCTCTTACCCCACCCCTTCTTGTACATTACCCCCTCGCTCCTTTTGATTGCTCTTCCCGTCACTTGAGCTATCATGCATCTATCCTCTAACTGTGAGTTACTGTCCCCTCCTGCTACCCCTGGTAACCATCAAAGATTTCTTTTAGTATAGAAATCTTTTCTTAAACTTTTACAATGATAGCCTTATGTAATATTTGTCCTTTTGTGCCTGACTAATTTCACTCAACGTTAGGTCCTCAAGGTTCATCCATGTTATGAGACATATTGCAGCTTCATCATTATTCTTCAAGATAGCATAGTATTCTATTGTGTGTACCTACCAAAGTTTGTTTAACCATTCTTCTGTTGAAGGACACTTAGGATGTCTTCATTTTTTGCTATTGTGAATAGTGCTGTGATGAACATTGGTGTGCATATATTTGCTCGCATTCTGGCTTGTATTTCTTGTGGATTATTTACCAAATAGAGGAATTGCTGGATCATAAAGTGTTCTTATTTCCAATTTTCTGAGAAAGCACCATACCATTTTCCAGAGTGGTTGAACCATTTTCAAGTTCCACCAGCAATGTAGGAGTCTACATTGTAGAGAGTTTACAGTCTTTCCACACCCTCACCAGCATTTGTTGTCTGCTGCTGGTGTGAGATGATATTTCATTGTTGCTTTGATATGTATGTCTCTAATGGCAAATGATTGTAAATATTTCTTCTTATGTTTGTTGGCTACCTGAACACCTTTCTTGCTGAAGAGTCTGCTCATGTCCTGTGCTCATTTTTAAATTGGGTTATCTGTGTTTTCCTTGTAGAGGTGTTGTGGTTTCCTACAATTTTTTTTAAGTTTAGTCTCTTGTCTGATCTGACCTTACAAAAAAGGTTTTTTTCCCAGTTTGTGGGCTGCCATTTTACTCTATTGGTGAAACCTTTTAATGCATATAAGTTTGTCATTTTTAGTATGTCCCATGTCTCAGTTATCTATTTTGTCTCTATTGTTTCTGTGTGTTTTTTTTTTTTTTTTTTTTTTTTTTGCCATGAATTAGAGCCCTTAAGTTTGTACCTATTTCTTCACTTATGATGTTTAAAGTTCTGGGATTTACATTTAGATATTTAATCCATGTTGGGTTAGTTTTTGGTATATGGTATAAGGTATGGGCCTTGTTTCATACTTTTCCTAATCGATTTCCAGTTTTGCCAGCATCATTTGTTGAAGGAACTGTATCTTCCCAGTTTAATGTATTTTGGCTCTTTGTCACAGACTATATGTGGGTAGATTTAGTTCTGGGTTCTCAATTCTGTTCCGTTGATCTATGTAATTTTCATTGTACCAATACCAGAGTGTTTTGACCACTATGGCCATGTAGTAAATTTTGAAATCAGGAAGTGAGAGGCCTCCCACTTTGTTCTTCTTGTTAAACAGTTTTTCTAAGTTCTCTTTCCTTCCATACAAAGATCATGATCATTTCCCCCCATTTCTTTAAAGAATGTTCTTGGAATCTGGATTGGGATTGCCTTATATCTGTAGATTGCTTTGGGTTGTATTGACATTTTCACAATGTTAAGTCTTCTTATCCATGAGCATGGTATATTCTTCCATTTTTGTAAGTCTCTTTTGATTTCTTATAGCACTGTCTTGTAGTTTTCTTTGTATAGGTTAGATTTTTTTTCCTGAATATTTCATCCTTTAGATGGCTACTGTAAATGTTTCCTATTTTCCTTTTCCGAGCTGTCTTTATTAGTATAGAGGAATATAACTGATCTTTGTATGTTGATTTTGTACCCTGCCACTTTACTGAACATTCCAATGAGTTCCAGGTGTCTTTTTGCTGAGTCTTTGGGATTTTCTATATATAGGATCATATCAAGTATAGAGAGTTTTACTTCTTCTTTGCCAATTTGGATGCCTTTAATATCCCTTTCTTGCTTTATAGCTCTGGCGAAGACTTCCAACACAATGGTGAATAGGAGTGGTCATAAAGGGCATCTTTGCATTTTTCCTGTTTGCAAAGAGAATGCTTTCAGTTTGTACCCATTGAGAGTAATGTTAGCTGTTGGTTTTGTATATATGCTCTTAATTATGTTGCAGGATTTCCCTTCAAGTCCTACTTTGTTGAGTGTTTTTATAAGGAAAGGGTTTTGGATTTTGTCAAAAACATTTTCTGCATCAATCATTAAAGTCGTGTGTTTTTTCTCTTTTTTTAATTTATGTGGAGTCCATGGTACTTTTAATATTCTTCTCCAACACCATAGCACTTGGTCCAGTGCATTATCCCACAGCACTTCACCAGGATTCCATAAGGAAATAACTACTATGAGACAAAAGTTGGCTTTGATCCTGCATCTGATTACAAATCCCACATACCTTCTTCTATTCTACACTACTTCACTTCATCATCATCTTACATAAGATGGAAGTTGGAATTTACTTTTAGAAGAGAGTCTAGTTCCTAACTCTGATGCCTGAGCCCAATTAGTTTTTTTTATGAGTAAATTGCTCTAAAAACACTATGCCTCATGCCATTGTCTTCTGTTTCACTCTTTTCTAATTTTCTATTGAGAATACTAAAAGTGCCACAGCCTACCAAAAGAACCAATAGATCTGTTTTGGAAGAAGTGCAGCCAGAGTGCTCCTTGGAGGCCAAGATGGCTAAACTTCGACTCAATACTTTGGACATATTGTCAGGAGGGAACAGTCACTGGAGAAGGATGTCATGCTGGGTAAGATGGAGGGTCAGAGAAAAAGAGGAAGACCCTCAACGAGATGGATCGAACAGGTGGCATCATTGATAGACTCAAGTGTGGCAGTGTTAGTGGTGCTGGCCCAGGATTGGACATTGTTTCGTTCTGCTGTGCATGGGGTCGCTATGAGTCGGTTCTGACTCAATGGTACCTGACAACAACAACAACATTGTGTCCTTGCTATATTAAAATATAATCAATGATATTCAGCCATTAAAGGTATGAAGTATATACTCTGTGTTATGAAATTCAGTCTCCCTTTTCAGCCTAGATACTCACTGAATACATACTATTGCAGAAGGTGTAGTGTGTAAGGCAGACATCAGTACAGAGACCAAACACCCTGCTCTCATAGTACTCTTAGAGGCCAGGGACAGAGGGGGCCATTGAGAAATTTTTCTGGTGTTGTTGTTGCTTTCAAGGAGCACTGGTATCATAGTTGCTTTCAAGGAGCACTGGACATATTGTCAAGAGTTGGGCTGCTAACCGCAAAATCAGAAGTTTGAATATACCAGATGCTCCATGGGAGAAAGATGAGGCTTTCTTCTCCCATACCAATGTATAGCCTCAGAAACTGTACACAAGGTTGCTATGAGTCTGAACCAACTTGGTGGCACACAAACACCACCACCATTGTTGTTTTCATAAGGTGCCAGTCCCCTGCTTGCTCTATAACACCACATAGCAAACACATACATATTCAAACTTATACACATACAGTCAAACATAGACACATCCCACAAATAGAATTTCTTATTGTTAATTTCAATCAGAGCCTTTTCCAAGCCTGCACAGAAATTTATATTACTGTCTTTCATACAGTACTGTTTGTATGTGTCACTAAATGTATTTTCTATCTGTCTTACAGAGCCCTTGTGTAGCACTTTAGAATAACTACCGGACTGCTAACCCCAAGGTCGGTGATTCAAACCCACCGGCTGGTCCTCTGAAACCCTATTCAGGGTCTCTATGAGTCAGAAACGACTCAACAGCACTTAACTACAGCAACAACATCTGTTTTATTAGTTTTGTTGTAAATGCATTAACTCCAATTTCCCCCCAGCAAATTGCTCCTTTAAGCAAAGGCCACATCTATCCATAGTTATTGTTCCCATTAAACTGATAGTTTGAAATAATGAGGACCTGTTTTTTAGTAAAAGATAGAGATTGGTGTCCAAAACTAACTCTACCTTATAAATACCTTAGAAATGTAAATTTGGGGAACTTTTTATCCATCAGTAAAAAAAATGGGAATTATTTTTCTTTCTAATGTTTGTTGATCAGTGTTATTTTTGTAGGTATAGTCTGATAAGTAATTTAATGCCTGTTTTGTTTTCTTTCCACAGTCAGCAAATGATCAATAAAGTGTTGTAGTGGTACTTTCTAAGATGTTAACTGAGAGTAGTTTTAGTATTTTATTTACCTGTAATGGTTGTTTATTAGCTATGGGTAGGGTAATCCATGGACACTTAAGGGTGACTGCAAACTCCCTTAAATTGTTTGCAATATTGTGTGTCTGTTGTATTCATCATACTTTTAAGTGAGACATAAATACAAAAATGACTAGGTTAATAAGCCTTTATCATTTTTATTTTTTTCCATTTTAGGCAGTGTTTTATTTCCTCTTTAACTTAATTCATTTGGATAGAATCGTTGTTAATATATGTGCTCAGAGAGGAAGGTGATGATAAATGGTAAATCCCATGTTTATTTGGGTTTACTAAGAAACTTCACCTTTCTGAATGGCCTAATAACTCTGGTGTGGTGCTGTAAGATAAGCACTGGACTGCTAACCTCAAGGTTGGTGGTTCAAACCCACCAATCTCTCCTTGGAAACCAT